TCAAGTAGCCTCAATGGCAAGTGACGTCATCAGACACCGGATAAAACTCACTCCACGGCCAGGAGTGCGGCTGTTTGAACAATGCTGGTCCATGTGGGAGACAATTCGTCGGTAAATTGTGCCTGCCCGATCCATGCTCCCATTATGCTTCCTATTACACAACTGCTCACATGTCAGTCAGCTGACGCAAGGAAGAATTACCATGCGGAGTCCGCAGACCCGTTCATTTTTGTAGTAAGGAAGCCTGCGGCTTAATGAAACTCGGTCAGGCTCTGTGGCATCCAAATGTGTCCAGTACCTTCCACGGCTGCAGTGATGTCATACCTACCTCCAAAGTGCGTTCGTTCAAGCTCTTCGCCGTGAGAGTAGTGGCATTGGGCCGCTGCATTGTTTTAAAGCGTAAAGGAATATTTAGAACTGCATTTTTAGTTTACTGGAACAGCATGTATGTATGCAAGTATGTATGCATGCATGTATGCATGTATGTATGTATGTGTATGCGCTGGACGCCAGGCAGGGGCATACATAGGGTATTATAATGAGGGAGGGCACTGCTCAAAAATACTCACTGAAAACCAGGCGCACGCAATTTCTTGAGTGCCATAAAACAACGTGACTTATTTTCAATCTTCTCAATTTAAAGCGTCTTCCTGAAACATTTGGCGGCCAACATTTAGCCGCGTACATCTTGGGCAATGCATACCATAAATTTGGAAGGGGCGGGGGGGGGCGGGGGCACGCGTCCCAGGGAGCTTCTACGTGCGTACGCCCCTGCCGCTATGGAAGTGCGACCAAAATGACAACAGCAACGCTTACAACTCACAGCAAAAGCTTTCTCAAAGCGCCAAACGTACGCCGCGTCCAGCCCAGCTTGGAGAACCAAGCAGACCTCCATCAGCGCAGACCTCCAGGCTGCGTGTTGGGCGGACGTCGGTCAGCCTGTGCGGTCCGAGTCGGCACGGCAAGGCCTCGACAGCGGGCAGACAGGCGCACCCGGTGATCGGGGAGTGGCCGGGTGTTGGCGACCCTGCCGGCTGCGGTCGGGGGTGCTGTGCTATGAGGCCGGAGGGAGGGGGCGTGGTTCAGCGGTCGCGTGCTCTGACAGGCTCTGTCTCGGACGAGGCAGGACCGGACCTTCCGTCTGTGGAAAAGGTGAGATGCCTCTCAGTCTGACGGAGGAATGAGTTCACATTCAGAAGGGCTAATGCGCAAGGCCGTCCTACCCACCGCACTGGGACTGGGTGAACGTACTGGGTTACATACCATTAAGCGCTCTGCCGCTAGTCAGAGTGTTGTGCGACATGTGGCAGCCATCTTGGCCACGGAAGACGCTTAAAATCATGGTTAAGGTGACGCACCAACCGAAGAAGAATGACAGAAATTATTTTGAAGTGTTGCAAAGTGTCGAGACCCAGTATAAGCGTATTATGTTAATTGTTCGTGGAGCGGGCTGCGCGTATTTGGACCTGACCCCTTGAATATGGTTACGACAGACAATTTCAACATCAATATGCTATAACCATGACAACTCAAGTTAATCAGTTTCGGCCAGATCAAATGTTTGATCTGGCCGCCAAAGACCACTCCTTTGAAACTGACCACTCATTTGCATTTTCCACTGGAGCTCACACTTTTCTTCTGCTATAGACAGACGAACTCACGGACCACTTTTCAGCCGTAGTCTAACGACCACAGACACACCAGTACTGGCTCCGCGTTACGGCCGTGCAATAGTGTCCAGGACCAAACATGCTTCACGTCGCCAGCCGAAAGCTTTTTAAGGGTTTCAAACAACGCCGCGGGTAACGGAAGACGCCGCGTGCCGATATTTGGCGAGATTCGGAGTGTTTTTAACCAAGGTCCTTGGAACTACTTTCTTGACCAAAAGTTCCCCATAACGACCATGGCTTGCGTGTGACGTGACGTTCATGGCTAGCGCAAATGGAAGCAGTCGTTGGAGTCTGCTGCACGTTCGTTCCGCTTAAAACCTAGAGAACGTGCTTGAGGAGGCAAAACTTCCACTTATATAACTTGACACTGATCTACGCCACCTTGACACTGATCTGCTGCCTTAGAAGAAGGACACTGACGGCTGGTTGGAGTGCGGCCATGAAATCCCACGACGCTGCGGCGTGACATAGGTGAGACCCGAGATGCAAAGCAGTGGTGTTTTTGGTGACGTCACCGAGCTGTGACAGCTCGAGCGATCGTGGCTCTTTTTCCATCTTTCTCTAGATTCGGTGTGCGTTTCAGCCTCCCGTGTCCTCTGAAGTCGCCCTTGGAGTGATGGCTAGGCGTTGCGGTGTTGGTCGAGCGCTCCGCACGTGTGCTATGTTCTTGGCTCTCGTCACTCTTGCTGGGAACACAGAGCACTGCCTTCACTACCCCCGCCTTCCCTGGGACTGGCGTCAGTGGTTAAGGGCCTTCCCTTCCTCCCCTGTGCCTGCTCATGACATGTTCCGACGCCCCATTCCTTTGGGTCCGCCCTTGGCATGACCTGTGATGGCATGACCTCTCCACTCCCCCCTGGATTCTCTCTGGCACAGGGCGTCCCCCTTCTCTCTTGGGCCCATCATTGACATAGCTTGCCTTTTCGTCTCTCGCTAGACTCGAACCTGACATGATCGGCCCTTCTGCCCTCTTGGGCCAATCCACGACATGACAAGCCCCTCCCCACCTGGATTCACCCCCGACATGACCTGCTTCCTCCACACCTGGACCCAACCGTGACATGGCCCGCCCTACCGGCCTGTCCTGGACCCGCCCCTGCCATCCTGTCCTGTCCCCCGCCGTACCTGCCCCTGACATGACCTGTGGTCTCATTCTCCCTTGAATCCAACCCTGACATGACGTCTCCCGTTCTCCATTATACCCGCCTTTAACATGAACCCCCCCCCCGTACTACTCACTGTACACGCCCTTGGCATGACACATCCTCCCGTACTCTTCACTGTACACGCCCTTGACATGACCTACCCTCTCGTTGTCCCCTGTATCCGGCCCTGACAGATCTGTCGCCGTCCCGGCCGTCCCCATATAACGGTGAGCGACGCACTGGCGCCGGCCCGAGCGCGGCAATTAAGCCGCGCCGCGGCGCATGTCGCGCGCATCTGCGCCGCGTTCACCGCTCCACTTCTCGGCGCGCGCCGGCCCCGACCGCGGCGGCGCTCCGGCCGATCACGTGACCGGCGGCCGCCGCAGGCCGGTCACGGTCACGGCGCCCGCTGGTTGGTCGGGAGCACCGGCTCGGGACGGGCGGGAAGGCGGCGGGCGGGGGGCGGCGGCAGGCGGCGGGAGGCAGTAGGAGTAAAAGGGCACAGTGGGGCGCCAGGCCGCCGCTGCAGGGTGGGCGATGACGGTGCTAATGACATGTTTCCACGGTCAGCGGGATGACGAAGGACTGCTGCAACAAAGCTCGACATTAGAAGGCGTTCTGAGGGAGCGAGACGTCCCCGCTCCACCAGCATGACCTCGAGAGCTGGGCGTGAGGGACCGTGGCACATGTGCGGTCAGAACGGCTGTCGGCGGGGTCAAACACGATGGGGCGTGGGGATCGCGGGAAGCGGGCTCATTTGTTGGGTCGAGCAAAGATGACAGGCGACAGTTCTGCTCGCTTGTATAACGCGAAGAGTGAGTGACGCCATGCTCGCATGCTGTGCCGAACACGAGAACAGCCAATGCTATCGCATGCTTCGCGGGACCAAGATCTGCATGGATTGTGAGGCCTGACGGCGTGACCATCGGCGGCGCCGGCCGTCTGGACTTCGTCAGAAACAAACATTGCTCCGAGCGTTTGCGAATATGTGGATGGTATGATGCAACCTCCGATGCATTGGTAAGGCCATGTGTGTCGGGCTGCAGTGTTAATAACATCACATGCTTGCATGGCCATTTCAATATATGAAAGATTTCCATGCGGCAACCGTTTCGCTCGTAACTTAGAACGCGGCTCAGATAACAAACGCCACTCACTCTGGTCCACGAAAACAACCCCACCAAATATGGCCGCGCGGTTGCTGGAGGCGGCTGAGGCCGGTTTCTCCAGTCCGCCCCGGTGGCAGACGGCTGCCCCCGTGACCCCGGGGTCCGTCGGGTCAGGCAGCCCCGCCCACCGGCCGTCCACTGGCCAGCGGCCACAACACCCGCCCGGCACCATTACAAGTCCATCGTGCTCTTTAAGCCGCCGATCCGGCGTGCCGAGGCGCCCCGCGCCGCGCCGCCGGCTCCAAAGCCACAGCCGCGCGCCGCGCCGGCGAATCGGTAGTTGACAGTCAGCTGGCCTGCCCGGCCGGCGGCGGCGGCGGCGGCGGCGGCGGCGGCAGTCGCCAGCAAACCGCGTTGGGGTGGGGTCCGCGCTGGACGGCTGCGACTCTCGAATCACGCTCCTGTGGCCCCGCGCGGCCGGGTCCCGTGACGGCAGTGTGACACCGTGGATGTGTGACGCGCTGTGACGCGCGGCCGGCGATGACGGAAGTGGCGGGGCCGCGCGTGCGGTCTCCGCGGCGCTGCCACGATCTGACGCTCAGCGTGCCGCCGGCGCCGGCGCCGGCCGTCAGCGCCGCTGTCAGCGTCAGCGCCGTGGCCATCAGCGGCCGGCCGCCGGCCGACGTTCACATCGTGCCGATCGTGCACATCGCCAACCAGACAGCGGCGAGCGACACGAGCTCCGTGGGCGCGGCCACGCCGCGGGGCGCGGCACCGCCGGCGCCGCCGCAGCGCCGCTCCACCGACACGCAGACGGAGGCGCCGCCGGCCGACGCCGAACGCGAGCAACGACGTCGCGAGCGCCGTGAGCGCCGCGAGCGCACCGGCAGCCGCCGGCCGCCGCCGCTGACGCCGGCGCCGGCGCCAGCGGCGCGCTCGCCGGCGGCCGGCACGCCCCTGCCGGACCTTCTGAACTCGCACGTGCCACCGCCGTACTCGACGCTGCCGCACGGGGCGAGCCGCGGCGCACCGCCGCCGCCGCCGCCCGCGCCGCCGCCGCCGCCTCCGCCGCTGCCGCCGCCGGCCGGCCGGTGTCCGTACGTGCCTCCTCCCGGCTCGCCGCAGCGGCCGGCGCTCTGCTTCGGCGACGGCTACAACCTGGCGGCCATGGGCGGACGAAGGTAGGTCACGGGGCGTATGGCCGCCGCCGCCGCCTCCGCCTCCGCAGCAGGTCGAACGGGCGCCGTGTTTGCGGAGTGTCTGAACAGGGGCGAGCCCAGCTAATCCAGAGTGGGGGCGTCGGGTGCCCACCTGGCGGATGCAAATTGGAGACACCCAACCATGTATTTTTACTGAGCTAGGGGAGGTTGATTTCCCCTCAGCTTCGGCCCTGGGTGCGCGCCTGGTTTCCAGGGTAACGGGTTGTTACCCTGTCAACAGTGTCGGGCTGGGTGTTAATGGTAACCTGTGGTTGGCGGCGGCGGAGCGCAGCGACACCGGTCTTATCCGAAAACATCGCCGCATAATGAAAATATCCTGCGGCGAAGGAGGCCGTGACGTCACGGAAATTAGGCGGGCCGGGAATTAAACACAGCAGCGGTCTAATTTACGGCGAACGGGCGCCGGGCCGGACGATGCGTCACGGTTTGAAGGCGGCCCGCAGCCCATGACGGCCTCAGGCGACGTTCTTCCCGAGGAGCCCTGCAGGCCACCGATGCAGCCGCGTTGCTCAAACTAGTGCTGAGCTGACCCTGCCACGACGACGCTAGGCCGAAGTTCGGACAGCGAGGCGGGGCCGTGCCGAACTGCTAGACGTGCTGAGCCGTCGCCGAGCCGAGTCTAGCGAATTAAGCTCAGCACTCAGCGAGCTACGCGCCGCCGTGTGCGCAGCTGAGTCGCGCGAGGCGCTGCGCTGACGTCAGCGAGACGGCGCGGCGCTGGACACTGCTCGCTGCTGAGCTGAGGATGGCGGAAGGGAAGAGTGGTCCCGCTTCACCACTGGGTAGGCTGGCCAATGACATAGCGGCTCATTTTCCATGTCTGCGGCGGCGGGCGTCGCGTTATGTGGGAACGACCCCAGGATAGCCCAGGACGGCCTGAGGACAGACCCAGAACGGCTTCAGGATAGCCCAGGACGGCTTCAGGACAGCCCCAGAATGGCTTCAGGACAGCCCCAGAACGGCTTCAGGACAGCCCCAGGACGGCCTGAGGACAGCCACAGAACGGCTTCAGGACAGCCCAAGAACGGCTTCAGGCCAGCCCCAGAACGGCCTGAGGATAGCCCCAGGACGGCCTCAGGCCAGCCCCAGAACAGCCTGAGGACAGCCCCTGGACGGCCTGAGGACAGCCTTAGAACGACCTGAGGACAGCCTTAGAACGGCCTCAGGACTGTCGGGCTCTCGGCGGTAGTTCGCCGTCGGTAGTCCGGAGGCTCTGGCCCGAGACTTATTGTGCTGGTCGCTCCCTGAGGTTAAGTTCTGCCCTGTGTTGCGGTACACGGCACGGGGCGCTTGTAGATAGCGCGCCTTCATGCGAGAGCTGGATGTCCACTGAACGGTGATTGTCTGGCTTTTCGTCAAAACGGGATGGACATCACTTTGAATCGTTACAAGTGTAATTGGTAACGGCAACAGCATGGCGAGAACAAAACCGTTCTGAAAAGACAGCCCAGCGTTGAAAAAAGCTTGGCGAGCCGTTGTGCCTGCTGCGAAACCTATGTGAGTTCGTAGCTAGTCCAGCGTTGAAAAAAGCTGGTCGAGCCGTCATACCTGCTGGGAAACTTGTGTGGGTTCTTAGCCACATGATTCAGTAGACCCACGGGTGGCAGTTCAGATCAGCTTAGGCTGGACCGTCGTTTACACGGGGAGCGAGATTTTATATTATTATAATACTGTCGTTAACACGTTATCCAATCATGGCTTGGTCGCGCCGGCGCAGTCGACACCCTGACCCCGTGAGCGATGCCCGGTGACCCGTCCCAGGCCACGAGCCGCGGCGGCAACCGCGGGTGACCTCTTGACCCCCGCCGAGCGGGCCTGTCGCCGCCGGACAGTCAGCTGGCTGACATGACAGTCAGCTGAGCCAGCCGCCAGGGACGACGAGTCGCGCGCTGAAATGGGAAGGCCTTTGAAGAACGTGGGAACCTGAGAACTTTGGAACTGGCTGGGGATGTTGTTGGGGGAGGAAGTTAGCAGAGAAACCTAGTTACAAGTCCGTCCGCCTCTTGGCTTCTGTATCGGCACCCCTCACCGCGTTTCAGTCATTGTGAAGGAACTAGTTTTGAAAAGCCACGTGGCGCACATCGCCACCAGTCCCGCCATGAAGTGCCAGCGATGACGTAGATCACCGCATTGGCGTGCAGTGGTCGAGACACCGAGAAGAATACCAATGGATATGACCAAGCTCTCACACGATGCGACCAAGAGTGGGCGGTTTTTCAGGTCATTGGGGTGGGGGGTCGTGCCCTCCCGCACTCCTACGCCCCCGGCTGGCCGTCACATTGTGGCCAGCCGGGGTCGTGTTTCGGCCGTGCCGGGTGGCGGTCGGCGGCGATCACCTTCCGCTGGGTCAGGTGCCCGGCGCGTCGGCCACCGGAGCTTCGCCGCTGGCTACGCCCTCGGGCGGAACAGAGGCGCACGCGGCAGGCTGGATATGGGGGGGGGGGGGGGACCTATCAGCGTGGCCGGCTCATTTGGCAGTGGAGCCTTTCGCTGCATGACGCATGTAATTTCTTCTTCCAAAACGGTAGCCCCGTGAAATTTTGTGTGTTACGCAGCCAATGAGTGAGACACGGCGGCGTCTTGGGTAACAATATTTCGACCCTGTCCCGTTTCCAAACTTCAACATGTCACGAACGTCACGGTCGGTGTGGCGAAAAACTGCCGCACCCGGTGACCACGCTCAGATTTGCATCATCGGTCGCGCCACAGCCGACAACCAGCGGCGGAACGGTCAGCGTTCCTTTAGTGCACGCCCACGACTGTCGTCACAGTTGCGAACTGTGTCCCTGTCCTCTCTCGCTGATGTTCTGGATGCGCCCTGTCCTGCCTCGCTGTTCGCCCTGGCTGCTCCTGCTCGCTCGTAGCCAGTCCGTCCTGCCCGTCGCTCCTGCCCTTCCCCAGCGCCGACCTGGCTGCGCCCCTGCCCTCCCCGGTCGTCTCGTGGCTGCGTGCCGCCTCCCTGCTCGACTCTCCCTGGGGTGCGGGACGCCCCAGCCGGCCCGTGTCACCCGCAGCAACTCCCGCCGGGCCGCGGGCCTGCCAACTAAAGCAGCGTCTGTCCTGCGCGTGCGTCGCTGCCGACGACAGCGACGGCCGCCACTGGGCTTCGTCCGAGACCCGCACTGCGTCGCGAGCGGTGCTGCTGAGCCTGTGAGCGCGTGGTGATCGGCCCCCCTCTCCTGGACCTGAAGCGACGAGTTTCTCTCGTCTGCCGATCCGTCCTCGGCCTCCCCTCCTCCGCCGGGACGGCGTTGCTCCCGCGCGCCGTTGCTGTTCCCGTACGTCGCACTCCCGCGGTTATTCCGGCGCGGCGGGACTGCCACAACGCGTGCTCCCAGGGGGGCAGGGCTGGAGACTGTTGCGTTCCGTCCCCGCACGGAGGGCGGCACTGGATCTTGGACGTCCGTGCGCTCCGTCCGATGTCATGGCAGCGACAGGGATGGGCTCCTGGGAGCGCGGGGCTCGTGATATCGACTCTGCAATCAATGATGGCTGACGTAAGGATGGACGGAGGATAACACGGCCCGGACTTAAGTAGCCGTTTCGCAGCACTGAAAAGAGAAACATTAATAACGCTAACGATAATGTACCGCCGCAGATCCCGTATGCACCAACTCAATAACTACTTAAAAGCAAAGTAAAGGTCCTTTTCCCCCACGCGTCTCCTCGCCCTGAGCGCAGAGGGCCTGGGAGCTCTGCGAGCATTCTAGAAGTGGCCTTGTTACCGCGATGTTGGCGGTGGACTTATCTCATGGCAGAGCGCGCCGCTGTGTTCGGGCAGCACAGTGCGTGCTGTGTGGGGACAGCACAGTGCTGGCCGTGTGGCCAGTGTTTGTCGAGCTCTTCATCCAGGGCCGGCCGCCCGCGGGACTCACAGCGGGTGCCGTGTTTGGTGGGCCCTGTGTCTCTGCTCCTCCGGCTGATAGGTGTCAGCTGCCGGGGGTGTTACGGAGGGGGAGCGGTGGTACGCTCATACGCAGCAATTGGGCGCTGGGAAAGGGGTGGGCATGCAGTTGCCTATTGGTGGCGAGGTTCAGGGAGTGTGCAGTGGTGGGCTTGGACGTCCAGCTGTTGTCTTTGTTACGTGACGTGGTGCATACCGATAGGGCCAGCTTTCGTGCAGAAAGATCTCATGTCCCAGCGAACATGTGATCTCCATTTTTGGTTTCGAAGCTCCTTGTGCGTTATATCTCAAGGGCTCGTGGCAGCACTAGCCTGTTATAAACAGCGATCCCGCTTCGTGGGCACCGGGCACAGCTTCGGGTCTTTTAAAACCAAGGTTGACCTACACCTGACACAGTCCTCCTCCTTTCTGGGCAAGCTGCTCCGGAGTCCGTTCTAAAGGCGGATTGTGTGCCAAGGGGGGGGGGGGAGATATCCGGTAATCCGTGCGACCTAATTCGGACATTCATCTCCGTCCAACTTGTGCAGCCGCGCCAACAGCGAGGACCCATCCCGGGAGTCGTGCCAGCCGGGGGGTATTGTGCGCGCCGCTGGCCCGCCGGGCCGCCCCCTCTCGTGCGCGAGGGGCCCGTTGGAAGGTCACGCGGGGCGACCTTGCCCGATTGTGCGCGGCTCCGCGGCGCCGGCGCCCCGCCCATTATCCCGCGTCCGGCACTTCTCCCCTGCGGTGGACCGAAGACCTGCGACGTCGTAAATCGGCGGTGCTGGACGCGGCGCAAGGTCGGCCCCGTGTGCTGGACCTCGCGCTGCTATTCAGGGGGAGGAGGGGGCGGGCGGCGGGGAGGGGGAGGGGCGCCGTGGGCCGGGAGCGGCGTGCCGGAGGAGACGGCGACATTTCCGGTCCCGACTGCCCCTGACACGCTTCACCCGAGATCAGATAGTCGGACTGATCGCGGCGACTGCATTTACATGCCGACGTAGCGTGATGTCAGTAAACTGGACGCGATCACCTTGAGCCAGAATGGCGGCGTTGCGTATCGTAGAGGTGTGTATTCTAC